GGCAAGGCAAGAGCTTGATTTTTACCTGTGGGCACCTTCTCCAAATGTATGTTGGCTTAAAATTCCTAGTAGGAGAGCGAGTGATGTAAGGACTCTGAAAACGTAACCTGGGCTTTGGTTTACTGGGGTATTTTTAAACATCTTAATGTACATATACACACACATTATACATGTATATGTATGTAGGGATATGTGTATATATACTTCTTAAAAAGATGTATACTTTTTTATCATGGCTATTGAGTTCTTACAAATAATTTCAGTTGGTCCACTTCCTATGGTTGCAATAAATTATTTTCATAGATCTCTCCATTAAAAAGTATCTAAAAAATTACTGTTGATTACTAATTATCAGCATATATTTATTAAAATAGCATCCATTTATTAGTTCCCAGCTGTGTAGGTCACATATGCCATGGCTGGGTTTCCTGCTTAGGGGTCACATGGCTGAAATCAAGGTGCTGGCAGGGGCGAGTTCTTGCCTGGAAGTTCTGGAGGGTAACCTGCTTCCAGGGTTATTCACATGGTAGCAGAACCCAGTCCCCTGAAGCTGTAGGGCTGAGGTCCCTGTTTTCTTGCAGTCAGTCAGCGGCTGGAGGCTGCTCTCAGGTCCTTTCTGCCGAGCCGCCTCCATCTTCCAGCAGCAGCAAATGAACACTGAATCCTCCTGGCATTTCGGGTCTTCCTGCCGGAACCTTCCAGTGAAAGCATTCTGCTTTTAAAGGACTCCTCTGTTAAGCCCACTCAGATAATCTCCATATCTTTAGGTTGACTGATTAGTAACCTTAATCACATCTGCAAAATCCCTTTCCCGTGTACAGTAACATAGTTGTGAGGCCATCTTAGAATTCTGCCGACCACATCGACCTTATGTAGACGTTTGGTGTCATATAGATTCAGTTTCAGGTTGAATAACATGACAGCATTTGGAACACTAAATGTGAATCACTGTAATGAATTATATTTAGGCTAAGTTATTTTTATCATGAATGTGATGCAAAGGATTTGCAATAGTGAAAAATACTTTTATGACTTTTTAAGTGTCTGTAAATGTATCAGGTAAAAGTATACTTAAAAGACATATTTTAAAGAGCTCTTATCAATGCCTAGCATATTGCCTGGAATTCTTTGGTTCCATCAGGTGATAGTGAGTACATTATCTTCCTTAATGTATGCTGTTAATCATGGTCTTGGTCATACACTAATGATACAAACTCAGAGACTTTAGAGCTAAAAGAGATCAGAGACCACCTGTGACCCTCGCCTCCACCTGCCTTTTTTTGTAAATGAGGAACCAGAGTCTCCGAGAGGGGATGTGACTCAGAGAAGGCCACAGAAACAGCTGGTTAGTGCTAGAGGTGGGCCTAGAATACATGTTTACTGATTCCCTATCTGCAGGTGATAGTAATAACAGCACCATTAACTGAAGATTTTCTATGTATCAGGTAATGATAGGTATGGTCAATGTCGATAAATAGTTAGACCTGACAAGAAGTAAATTATCACAGGTAATTCAGACTATCACCCTGTTGCTAGGGTGAGGGTGGTCTCTCCACCCCACCTCCCAACGTGGAGAGCCCTGTGTGATGTGGGCTCAGTTTCTTGTCCGACCTACCCCCACCATTACCACTCCACATGGTTCAGTTATTTGCACATCCCTCAACTGTCTGTTGTCACTCCTATCTGCACACCTTTGTCCATGCGGTTTCCCTCAGCGAAAGCACTCTCTTCTTGCTTCTTCTTGGGTCCTAAGCACTTTAAATATATTATTTTCCTTAATCCTCACAAAAATTCTATGAGATAGACATTACTGTTATCATTGCCATTTCAGTTTGAGAAAACTGAGAGGGTAACTTAATCACTGTTGGCCAGCTGGCACATGGCAGGGTGGGAGTTCGAAGAGAAGCAGTTTGACGCCAGGCCCTGACCTCTCCTTCACTGTGCTCCGCTCTTCCGCCCGGCCAGCTGCTCCTAACAGGCCTTTCACGTGCAGTGCAGAGGTAGCTTAGCGGCGTCTCTGTTGACTGCGCATGCTACCCATTGGTTGTATTCTGACAACAAATCCAGGAATATCAGAATTTGAAGTCTGAGAACTGTGCACAAACTCTTGTTCTGTCATTTTCTGTGTGGCCTCAGGGAGTTGTGTAATCCCCTGGGGACTTGGATGCTGTATGTATGAAATGGGATTGTTAAAAGTTCTGAAGTGGATGCATGTAAACAGCAATATGTAAACAAAAGCATTACTTGCCCATTGTATTGTTATTCTTTGAAAGCTGGTGGCTGGTTCTCATAGGGGATTTTCTCCTCACTTTTGCAGTGACAGAGTCAGACATTAAATGAAAAACAATAGATCTTTGACATTGCAAAGGCTATGTCCTGAGACCCTGAAGAATCCCTCCATTTTGAAAGTCGTGTTTCCTGTACATAATCTCATCCACGTTTTGAAAGCTAACAGAAGTTGTGCATCTCATTTGATGGTGACTGTTAACAGGGCCTCCTTCGCAGGAAGTGAGCAGCAAGGCCGTGTGAAGAGGCCGGGACTCAGTCCTGGGCCTGGCCCCTCACACCAGCCTCATACCTTCCCTGATTCCAGTTCACACCTGGGCAAATTTTGTTTTACTTTTTGATGTGGCCATTTGGGGATCACTTTCACATAAAATCATAAATATTAAATACCAAGATCTACTCTTCATCCCTGTCCTTTTTAAAAAACATTTTATCCTTTTTGTTGTATGAATTTTTTGCTATACCATTTGAAAATAAATTGCAGATACTATAACATTACAGGTGTAAATACTTAAACATGTATCTTGTAATAATAAGGACATTTTTTATAATACATGCCATTGTCTGTGTAGGAGAATGAAGAATTTTCTTATCCTGTGTAATATTCAGTCTATGTTCAAATTTCCCCTACTTGTCTAAAATTGATTTTAGAGTGTTTTGCTCTTACGGTTTCTTGTTTTTGTTTATTTCCTCTAAAATAAACCAATTCCTCTTAGCATTTAATATTTGTACCTCTGTGATAATTTTAAATATGGAAAAATTCACCCACCTTGTTAGTGTGTTTGTTTTTATGATATTAACTATTTTAAGAGACTAAGCCAATTCTCTTGAACAAAATCCTATGTTCTGGGTTTGTCCGATTTTTTTTTTTTAATTGTGTCATTTATCTTCTTGCTCTCTCCTCTGTATTTTTGAAAACTAGAAGCTGGTTCCAAAGATCTAATGAGAAACAGGTTGTACATTTTTGTTTGAAACAGCTTGATAGGGGATACTGTGTACCTTGTGTCAGGAAGCACGTGTTTGCCCCACTGTCCGTGCTGAGTTTGACCATCTGATTGAGACGGCGATAGCCAGGCCTCTTGGGTTTAAAGGGCATTTTTCTTTAACAAGAAGAACTAATCCTTGGAATGATTTTTTTTATTTTTTTGCTCATGTGAATATCTAATGATGTTAGCATCCCTCTGTGTGCCTTTTTTTGAATCATTTATTCCATTGGAGGTTACAAATTGATAATTTTAAAATGTATTTATTCCTTTTATATTTCTTAATGTTCCTCTGTAAGGAAGAGCTTCCTCTCCTCAATGGAGGATCCTTTATATCATCTTAAGTTCGTATCAGTACAACATGTTTATTACTTATCTCAAATATCAGCCTTGGATAATGGAACTGAGTGGGGAACTGAGTTGGGAACTGAGTTGGAAATGAGTCATAACTTTTATTTTGTATATTCTTTTTAAAGCATTTTAATGGACAGTAAAGTTGGAAGTGGAGAATAGATGAAATTTAAAGCAGTGTTTCAAATGGTGAACAAATATAAGAGGCTTGATGAAAAGGATTTCAACAAGTCACTGGCAATATCAGAAAATGATATTGATCTAAGATGAAATTATTAATACCAGGCATTAAAAGAGCTTATTAAATCCCAAAGAAAGCTAATGATAGGCATGGTCAATGTCGATAAATAGTTAGACCTGACAGGAAGTAAACTATCGCAGGTAATTCAGACTATCACCCTGTTGCTAGGGTGAGGGTGGTCTCTCCACCCCACCTCCCAACGTGGAGAGCCCTGTGTGATGTGGGCTCAGTTTCTTGTCCGACCTACCCCCACCATTGCCACTCCACATGGTTCAGTTATTTGCACATCCCTCAACTGCCCGTCGTCACTCCTATCTGCACACCTTTGTCCATGCTGTTTCCCTCAGCGAAAGCACACTCTTCTTGCTTCTTCTTGGGTCCCGATCTGCCCATGTTGCGAGCTCAGCTCAAATTCCCCTCCCTCTGTAAAGAAACCCCTTCCTCTCTGACCTCTCAGATAGCACTTCCTACCTCTATCACTTCTGCGGCACTTAACTCAGTTTCCTACTTGGAGGACATTACTGTCCAGGACCGAAAATTAAAAAGCTCTGTTTGCATGGCATTGCTGGGTTTTTGAATTCTTTTGAGAGTCTCTGAAAGTTACCAACAGATGTGAAACTGTTATCAAACAGGGCTGTCTCCTTTGTGTAGCTTTCTTTACCTTCTAATATCAATCACCCTACAAAAATAGGTTTTCATGTGAAAGTTAAGGCTACAATTGAGTTTTGCCACCTGTTCTTTGGAAAGAACACCAAGGCTTAGTTCTTTTACTATGACAAAAAGAAAAGAAAAAGAAAAAGACAGGTATAAATTAATCTTGCATTTAAATATTACAATAAAAACAAAGCTTATTTGATTTTCCTCAGGTTCAACCTTTTTGTTCCTTTTGTTACCAATTTGAACACTGCTTTAAATGGAAATAAAACAATGGTATTTTATGCTTCTTGAAGATTTTTGGAAAATTTCATCCCACTCAACAACACATTGTTTCAAATACGTTTTCTTTCTTTCTCCTTAATAAGAACCCTTTGTATTTGCACAGTTGTTTTCCTCTGAGGACCTCCAAGTGCTGGCTTCTATTTTTTGTCACCAGGTGGTGATGACAAAGCTGTCGCCCCTTTTGTTTTCTGTCTGTGCAGAAGCAGGGGGTAAGAAGCTGCGGAGCACTGTGCAGAGGAGTACAGAAACGGGCCTGGCCGTGGAAATGAGGAACTGGATGACTCGACAGGCGAGCCGGGAGTCCACCGACGGCAGCATGAACAGCTACAGCTCGGAAGGAAAGTGAGTGGGGCTGGCTGGGACGGCACCCTTCCTCGCTGCGCCCAGGCCATCTCCTCGGTCTCACTCTCTGCTTTCACAAAAACCAACTCGCACTCTGCAGCACCTTCTTAATTTTCACTGGCTGATGCGCTGTAAAGAGAACTTCTGCTCAGCTGCCGCTGAGAATTGTGACGTATCTGGCTTTTTAGATCAAGGGAAATAGGTCTGCAGATAAAATGTTTTGCTTTAATAGAAGGTGCTAAAATGTGACTTTCACAATACATGCAAACAAAAATTTTCCCTAGCTTGAAATAATACACATAAAAGCATAAAAATAATAAGCACTCATGCCATAATGTGAACAGTGTTGATTTTTAAGATTTTTGCTCTAAGACTTATTACTCAAAAATATAGAACACTGATACATACTTAGTTCCATTCAGTAACAAACAGTTCAGACAAATGTAATTAGCCAAAAAGGAATGCCACAAAGAGAATTGGTGAGCCATTCCTGTGTGTAGTTATCACGTAGCTTCCCCTTGAATCATTTGTACCCGAGATATTTTTAAAGCATTTATAAAGATTGTGTAGCATTGTCACTGACAAATTAACAGTAATTAGCAGCTGCAGATCAGTACGTGGGTGTGTAGATGACATTAACAGAGGAGAGTGGGGTTTCCTGCCTTCACTCTGTCGTCCCCATGGAAGCAGCAGGTGTTTGGACAACATGTATGTGGCCAGTTCACACGTGTGAGACCGCAGGCACTGCTGGCAGAGTATCAGTGTATGCCCTATGGGTCATTCGTCTAGCACGATTATATAAATACAAAAGATGTGCATGGTTTCCATGCATCTATAAGGTTATGTGGGATACTTATGGAACCATTAAAATGTTTGGATTAACTGTATATTTGGGCATTAAGGTCAGGGGAAGAAATAGATTTGGTGTTCAGGATGTCTCCAAAGGGATGGAGAGTCAAGTAAAAAGTGAATGTTCACTGCAAAGCACGACATCAGATGCGTTTGGGATATCAAAGTGTTTACACCGGCCCTGCACTTGAGATGTTCACAGTCTGATCGGAGAGCTGGTATGAACACTCAGAAATTCATTCAACCAAGAGAACCTAGAACTTCTGGTGTTCTAGGCCCAGAGCTACAAGTTGGCAATGTAAGCCATATAAGGGAGCTGAAATCAGTTGGTGGTTAAGACCATCGGCTTTAGAATTATATAGGCTGAACTTCTCATCTGGAGTTTGTTTGTTTGTTTGTTTGTTTGTTTTTTGGTTTGTTCGGGGGGTTGGTACTATAGAAACTTGAGTGGGTTTCTAGGCTTCTTTTTAATGAAATGATTGAGCTTACCAAGTATTCATTAAGTGCTTAACGCCCCAGGCATAGTTCTAGGTGCTGGAGATGTGTCAATGAACAAAACAGGAAAAAAGAAACAAACTCTACCTTCACCAGACTATAGTAGACAAGATAGCCATTAAAGAAGAAAAATTAGTAAACTGTCGAGTAGCTTAGGTAGTATAAGTTCTAAGGTGAAAAACAAAGGGAGAAAGACGATGGAGGGTACGGGTGTGGTTACATGTGGGGCAGACAGGGACGGGACACAGCTGAGTGAAAACCTGAAGGAAGTGTGTGGATACTGAGGGAGGAACATTCCACGCAGAGGCAGTGCGAGGCGGCCCAGTGGAGTGAGGACGGGAGCAGTAACAGACTAGGAATTAAGATATGGCAAACGGGTGGACAGTTTGTATTGTCTTTACAGATGATTGTAAAGACATTGCTTTTACTCTGAGAGGGATGAGAAATGACTGGAGGATGTTTAGCAGAGGGCTGACCGCTGACAGATCGTTCTGATTGCTGTGGGGGCAGAGAACTATGGTGGCAACAGAGAGAGCAATCAGAAGGCTGTTGCAGTGACACAGAGGATAGAAAAGATGGCTTGGACCAGAGTGGCAGCATTTGTGACGTCAGATTCTGGATGCATTTTGATAGCAGAACCTATAAGATTTGTTGGTACATTTGATGTGACTAATGAGAGAAAGAGAGTGTTTTAGTTTTCTATGGCTGCCATAACAAAAGACCCCAAGACTAGGTGGCTTAAACAACAGAAGTATATTTTTTCATAGTTCTGGATCAAGATCAAGGATTCAGCAGGGTTGATTTCTCCTGAGGCCTCTCTCTCCTGATTTCTCCTGGCAAGTGGCTGCCTTCTCACTGAGGCCTCACATGGTCTTCCCTCCGTGGATGCATATCTCTGGTGTCTCTTCTTTTTATAAGGACACCAGTCATATTAGATTAAGGCCCCACCTTTCTGACCTCATCTAATCTCAAGTACCTCTTTATAAAGGCCCTATCCCCAAATAGTCATACTGGGAATTAAGGCTTCAATATATGAATTACGGGGGGCCGGTGGGGGGCAGTGGTCCAGGAACACACACACAATTCAGTCTATACTAAAGAGGAAAGACTACGGTCCAAGGGAAAGTTCCAAACTAGAGATGTCAACCTAGGTAATGTCAGCATAGATGGTGTTTAAAACCATGGGCCTGGATGAGATCACCAAGGGAGTTGGGACATGGAAAGGAAAAGAGGTCTGAGGGTCAAGCGCCCAGTCTTTAGTGGCAGACTCGTAAAGGAAACTGAGGGAAATGGCCAAAACGGAGGACCAGGGCACAAAAGAGTTTGGGAAACAAAGTGCAGAAAGGGTTTCAAGGAAGAAACAGGGATTAATTGTGTCAAATGACGGTAAGCTATATTAGTATTAATTAATACAGAGTATTAGCAGTTGGATTTACCACTGTGGCTATTAGGTAATCTTGATCCAATTTTAGCGGAGTAGAGAAAAATAGAGCAAGGAAAACTTACCAGAATTTCCAGGGAGGGCGAGAGGAATGAAATGGAAGACAACACATGGAGACAGCTCATTCAAGAAGTTCCAGGAGAGGTGGTAGCCAGAGAGGGGAGTGGGATTAAGAAGGGATTTTTTTTTTTAAGTGAAAGAAATAATGGTATGTTTTGTGCTGGAGAGATGCGAAGTTTCTTCATCTGTAAAATGGGTTAAATAATAGGATCTAGCTCATAGTGCAGCTAAGATGATTAAATATGATAATGCTAGTTATGGAATAAGTGACTGGTATATACCCAGTGCTACTGATAGAAACCACAGTCCATGTCTCCAGACAGGGGAGAAAAAGACATATAAACAGAGGCCTGCAGTCCAGTGTGACAAGTGCTTCTGGTGACACACGTGGGCCGCCAGAGAGTAAGGAGGGCGAGCCACGGGAGGTGGAGTGGGGTGTTGGGATCCAATTAACGTAAGTGGCAAAATAGTGGCACCAACTGCTCCAGTCCCTAGAAGGGGCTGCAGGGAAACCTGAGCTGCCTGAATGTAAATGGGTTCAGGGTTTAACCCTGTATGTTATTTTGCTTCTAGTCTGATTTTCCCTGGTGTCCGCTTGGCCTCGGATAGCCAGTTCAGCGACTTTCTGGACGGCCTTGGCCCTGCCCAGCTAGTGGGGCGTCAGACTCTGGCTACACCTGCAATGGGTAAGAATTTCTGTCACATGATTTTGTTGTTTTTCTTTTAGATTATTAAAAACACATCCTCTAATTTCCCAGGATTTTTAACAGTATTATCAGAAGAAATGAGTATTTTATATTTTAACAATTAAAAAATTGTCAACCGGGTTTTTTTCCACTTAATTTATATGCTTTTAAAGCAAGTTAGCATTGATAAAATTCTCAATATAAATGAATTTTGGAAAAATAAATGGGCAAGGATAAAAAGATTTCAGCCAAGGCCTTTGGCACAGCGTTTTTCGTACTGCACTTGTGTACTAAGTCCTGTTTGCTTTTCCTCACACACTATTAGGTGATATTCAGGTAGGAATGATGGACAAAAAGGGACAGTTGGAGGTGGAGATCATTCGGGCCCGAGGCCTTGTTGTGAAACCAGGTTCCAAGACACTGCCAGGTAAAAGCAGAAGAGATTCTTCTATTATTGCTCATAATCCACATTTTGGAATTCAGAGACTTTGTTTTTTATTGGCTGCTAAAAACTTTGTTTTTAGATAATCAAGGATACTAACACGAGTCAATGATCTGTGGTAGTTGGCATGTTTATCCTGAGTGTCAGTGAGGGTAGACCAGTGGGCATGATGCACGTTGATCAATAGGTACATATGTAGTAGAAGCCACTGCAAAATAAAAACTACCATACTTAGGCAACTCATTTTGTACATGTCCCGAAGTAATTCTTTTACTCATTAGCTGGTGTTTCATGTTATTCTTCACGTTTACCTGGAACTTCGAAATTCTCCTTTGAAATCCTCAGGGTTCTGGAATTAGAATAAAAATAGATACAGGCCCAAAGTAGCATAAGCCTATGTATGCAGGACATTCTCATTGTAGGACCTTTACTTCCTGTAGTTTGTATAAAGAGAAAAAGGCATGTGCTGAGGTGCTGGTAGCGTGGGAAGGGCCAGACCCCAGCTGCACTGTGCAGAGATGTGCGTCATCAGATCTGATGTTCAGAACAGATAGTTACTCAGGAGTCTGAGACTTGGTTTCTCACCTCAGCACCTCCGCTGGCTGGTTGTAATTTTGATTCTCTTGACTTTGCTATCCTTGCAGAAATTCTAAATTATAATGTATATGACCTATTGTACAACCTTGCAGTGGTGATTAAGGCAAGTGTGTATATGAAGGTCTTGAAGCCAGTCAAGCCACTCTGTTGTAAGGATAAAATAATGTCTACATGCCTGCACATGCTTTTATGAAGAAAGAGTTTGTTAGATAAATTTCATATTATGGAATTCATAATTAGTCGCTCCTTCCCAGATAATTGGGACATATTACATAAAACCTCACCCTTGTACCCACACCACCATCAATGAGCAAACCCTTTTGTGTTTATTAGAAAAATTTGCTACCCAAAAAAGCCCCTTTTGAGTAATAAATAAGTGATTTGTGGGTGTGGATGAGTAAAACAGTATGGTTTCAAGTATGTTTAATTAGATTTAAGTGTTGAAAAATGAAAGATTAAGACATCTCCCTTGAATATTGTTAGGGACTAGAAGCATTTCACCCTATTTAATGCAGTGTTCAAATCTATATAACCAGTCGATGGCAAAATGTAATCAGTTCAGAGGCTGTGTCAACACAGCCTAAAACTCTGGGCTGCCAGCCCTTTCCAGCTAAGGCTCGCCTGCTGTAGGTGTCGCCCGTGGCTTGGGCACCCCATAGCCAGAGCTCACCCCTCACCTCTCCTCTGTGTTTTCTTTCCCAAGCACCATATGTAAAGGTGTACCTACTAGATAACGGAGTCTGCATAGCCAAAAAGAAAACAAAAGTGGCAAGAAAAACGCTGGAACCCCTATACCAGCAGCTATTGTCTTTCGAAGAAAGTCCCCAAGGGAAGGTTTTACAGGTATTTACTAAACTGTTTATCCCTTACATAAGAAATATTTTCATGGAGTCAAATCCTCTACCCAGTACCTTTACTTATTACCACATTCTTTTCTGTTCCTCACACTTGAAATTTTTGGGAAACTTCAAAGCAGTGGCCAGTGCTATAAAGCTGTAAACACTGTTGCTTCCTTTAAAGTGACGTATAGACTTGCAAATCCCCGTCACACATAAACTCCAGTTTTCCTGGACTACTTATAGTCTTCATATATCATGCAGTTTTCTCAGTGTACCTTTGGATTCTAGTAGTGAGAGACAACTACCCAGTAGTCAATGCAACCGTTTAACATGGTGTTTGATGTCAGCACGTTAACTGAATGTATTTTAGTTTACAAGTTTTTATGTACATGATTATACTGACATCACTCTCCTTTTTATTTTGCCAATAGATCATTGTCTGGGGAGATTACGGCCGCATGGATCACAAATCTTTTATGGGAGTGGCCCAGATACTTTTAGACGAACTGGAGCTATCCAATATGGTGATTGGATGGTACAAACTTTTCCCCCCTTCCTCCCTAGTAGATCCAACCTTGGCCCCTCTGACGAGAAGAGCTTCCCAATCATCTCTGGAAAGTTCAACCGGACCTTCTTACTCTCGTTCATAGCAGCTGTTAGACTGTCGTCATAGCAACCAGCGTTACAAAAAAATCACAGGTCGCTAACCCTGGTTAACACTGCATGCTTAATGTTGTGTCTTCTGAGCCTGTTTCTAGGGATACAAAGCGATCCTGTGTTCTCAGTGGAAGTTGCACACATTGTGCCCTAAAGAAGGCCCTCAGGTGAAAGAGCAGAGCTATGAAGAACTATCAGGTCTGGAATTCAATAACACTCAAATTTTGGTCCAATCTGAAGCCATGGATTAATCTCAAAGAATCAGTTAGTTTCATGCAACAAAAGCCCTTTTCAATGGCACCTTTATATTTTTATCGTTCCTTTTTCTTCATTTCTCTGACCCCAAAGCCCTGCTATGCCACAGAAATGGAGCTCTACAGCCATTAAGCCATGTTACACGTCAAGGAGTGAAGTCCTCGGAAGCATCAGGTAAAAAGCAGGAGACCAAAGAAGTGGTCCGGGACAAAACGTCAGCCCTCCCCGCACGGCGGCCGGTAGCGGCGGGTCCGGCGTGGACAGTGGCCGATGTCCGAGCTCCAGGGGCACGTCCTTCCCTAATGCCAAGATGTGTGGGACTCTGGAGAGCAATTCCGTGGCGACACTGTACTGAATGAAATTAAAGAAACTTTTTTTGCATGGACACAGATTAGCTGAATACTTAAATTATTTTCTTGGGGCTGCAACTTGCAAAAAAAAAAGAAAAAGAATAAAAATCAGCCATTTTCAACAATTTATATTATTTTTAAAAATAAATTTCACTAATGCATGGTTTTAAAAAGGGGAGAGAATGCAGCAGGGTGATACAAAGACACACCATGTTTATTCTTTAAACTATAAATCATAGTCTGTGTTTTGGCAGACATTACAAATGAAAATACTTTCTAGCAAATACTTAAAATTCTCTTTATGTGACAAATAAGTATATATTCACTTTATTTCGATGTTAAATATACAAACCTAATGAAGTTCAATATGTGCAAATTGTTCACATCCTCTTCTCACTTTTCCTCTCCTCCCTCTTTTAATCTTTTACTTTCTCCCTACCAGAGTGAACATTATACTAAAAAATGACAAGTTTTTGACCTGATACTCTCTTGTACCCCATCTTTGATTCAGAGCTGTAGATGTTTCTGAATTTATGAATTTCTCAAGGGAAAAAAAAATATTTAAGAGCTCTCTTTGTTTCAAGCATGTTGAAAAGGAATTCGCAACATGACTTGGGAGTACATTAAAGTAAGTCAGCATGTATTTGATAAAGAAGATATCTGAACTTTTGCAATCTATTGTACAGTGCATGGTAATTTTATTTTCACCTTCAAAATTTAGTTTACAGGAAAATTCTAAAATCATGTGGCCATTGTAATGTCTAATAAATTTGTTTTTAGCACCAGCATTATTCATACAGGGGTTAAAGTATTATTTCTAGACAGTCTTAGGTTTCGTTTTTTTAATTAATTAAAGCAATTTCTTTAGTTTCCATTTACTATGTGAATAGAAACACTGCTAAAAATTGGGAGCCCTGAGGCACAGGGCTGTTTATTAATTCATTTTTCTGTAGTAAAATTCAATTTTGCACAAATTATATTTCTAAAGAAATATAGTAAACATAAATTTACAACAAATAATTTTAAAGCTCCAATTTTTAGGTGACTCGAAGAAAGTCAGTCTGCCTAATAGTTCTTTGATGCCATCACCAAAAGTTGACACACAAATCCCCAAAAGTCAAACCCCTGCCTTTGATTTTACAGACAGTCGTTATTCCCATTGGGTGGTGCTGCAAGGTCAAATTTCTCTTAAGTTCCCCTGTGTAGAGGAAAAGTCACTGGTTAATGTAATAAACCACCCCTATTTTGTTTCTTTATGTGCTCTGTGATAACACATTCTCACAGGCTGATTTGAATTTCTTGCGAAACTTTTGAAATCCACATACCATTTCTTTAAACTAAGGCCATGCACAAAAATTGCTTTTTCTTTTTTCTTTTTAAATTCAGTGCTGACCATTAAAAACTATCATGCTTGATATGGTGCAAAAGTTAAAATGAGTATCACGAAAAATGCCTTCTCTTTATGTGGTGCAATATGAAATATACCGAGACCATGTCTTGGCATTCTGAGATCGGGTAAAGTTGTTCAAAGAATGAGTAAAGCTTTACTGAAATAATTTAGACATTTGTGTACCAGCAACAATTGGTTTAATAGACCTATAGTGTCTATACTCTCCCTTAGAATAAACATTGACCATTTTCCTGATACTAAGACACAGTCACATAATCTTTTGTGCATATTCCTATATAAATTATTTCTAATTTTAATAAGAAGGACATGACTGTATGGAATATTTGTACATACTCGTCATTATGCAGTATTTATTTAAAAGTTGGTGGGTTTTTTTTTAATTCTCACATGTCTGTACCTCGACTTGTGGTTTAGTCATGTAAATAGCACTACTCCAGTGACCATTGCCGCCCTGTACATAGTATGTTTTAAAAGTAAAGGGAATTCCAGTTGGGGAAAAAAAGGGCAGATTAGTCCTGTAATGAACACCAACTAATGTAAATCAAATTCATTCTGGTGATGGTATTTAACACTTTAAATAAAACATTTTCTTTACAGACGTTGTATGCATGACTGTCTCTGGCTTCTCCCCCTACACAGCCCCGAGCCTGCTTCAGCTCATTCCCTGAACACCATCATTTAAAGACAACGAAATGATCTCTTCTATCACCCCATAACAAAGCAGACTGCTGGTCTTAGTAAACAGCTCTCAGTAGAGCATTTCTTTAAAGTGCCAAAGGATTTCTGCTCACATCATTAAAAGTTGCTAATTTAAAAAAAAAAAAAAGTTGTTCCAGATTGGGTACTTTCTGACTAAATGACTCAGCAGCTCACAGTTTATGAGTGAAATGGGTGAGATTTCTGAGTCAGTGTGGCCTCCGCAGTTAGCAGACTCACAGAGAATCATGTGCGGACTCTGTGGTTTCCCGGGTGACGATGAGAGGGGTGACAGTTGACTTTGCATTTGGTTTCCACTGAGGTGCCAGCTCAGCTGTGGGGGGCAGGGATGAGTGCAAAGAAATAACAGGACCTAGATTTTTACCTTTATCACACTCATGAATGGCCAATGACAAAGGAAGTGCACTTGATCATAAAGGACAGAATGGGAGCCATGAGGTGACTCGAGGTGTAATGGTCCAGGAATGAAGGGACTAAGGCTAGGCCCGGGAAGTACCTGTGGGAACAACAAAGCAGCGTTGGAAATAAAGCTGGGACAAAATGTAACCACATGTATAAAGTTTAGGTTTTTAGAAGAATGTTGGCACCACTAACCAAAACAGAAAAGGTGAAGGAGAGGCATGTTTCAGGGTCAGGGAGGGGAATTATGACTGTAGGTACAGATATGTTGGGGTTATACTTCTTTAAGTAAAAAAGATTTTTCTATCTTGATAGCTGAAAAAGTGTAGCTTGAGTTTGAGAGGGAGAAAAAGTCCAATTGAGCTGTTGCATCAGTCAGGATAGGCCAGGTTATGCTGCAATAATGAGCTACACTAAAATCCCTGTAGCTTGAAACAATGGCCTATTTCTAACTCACGCTCCATGGCCACTGCTGTTCAGCAATGAAACTGTTCGTCCTAATTTCTCCAGGACTCGGTTTAATGGAGACTCATCTCAACATATTCTCAGTGATCACAGAGACTGGAAAGAGGAACATGACACACCAAGAGCCGGCTCATAAAACTGCTGCCTGGGAGCAACACATGGCACTTTTTCTCACATTTCAGCGGCAGTAGTGAGTCACATGATCATCCCTGAGATAAGGTGCATGGAGAGAAACAATCTACACGTGCTTGGGGCATAAGAACTGCCATTTGTGAACCACTGCCCTGACCCCTGTGACCACTATCCAGATGAGAGGTGATAAAGACAGAGCAGTAGATGCAATCTTTTATGTGAAGAAGAGGGGACAGCAAAGCTCTAAGGACAGAACCTCACGGAACACTTGCAGGGCAGTAGGAAACACACATTTATGGAGGCAAAACAAAAACACAGAAAAGCAAAGAGCTCTTCAGCTTAGTCTAGGGTCACATCTCTATGAAGCATCTCACGAAATTTCCACACTGTTAAATCTGGGAATAAGTCAAAGAAGCTGAGGCCAAGGAAAAGCCATTGGGTCTGACCTTGCAGGAGACATGGCTGACCTTCAAGAGCGCTGCTTCGGAAGGCATTGGGACCAGGTATGAAGCAAGACTGAGGAGGGAGTGATCAAAAGTGGAGGCCAAACATAAGACTGGAAAAAATGAAGGGAAAATAAGATGGTTGGTTGAGGTAGCGGCAAAAGCAAAGCTGCTTTGCTCAATGAAATCTGACAGGATTTCATTCGTTCATTCAGCAAATATTTATTGAGCGTTTACTCTTGCCAGACACAGTTTTAGGAGCTGGAGAGAGAGCAAGCAAGGTAAGTTTTCTGTTCCCATGGAGCTTATCTTCCGGTGGAGGCAGACCTATGATGAACAAGTGAACAAAGAAATGAATGAGTGAAAAAGATCATTTACAATTATATTTACTTCTTCCTTTCCTTCTAAAAGGAAGTGATTGGGTGGGTGAGGAGCGTGGACTGAAGGGCAGATCCTAGACTAGTCAGAACAACTTCTCAGGAGTGGGTGACTTACAAGCTGACCCCCAGAACAAGAAGCATCAGCCAAGCAAGGAGTTGGAGCTAGAGTGTTCCATGGTAGGTACGCAGAACTCTGATGGAAATACCAACTTCTCATAGAAAATAGGGATTAGAAGGAAAATTAAAAACTGCTGTGTGTGTGTGTGTGTGAATGTGAATACAGTAAATGAAGGTTCTAGAAAGCATTTTCTTCTCAAATGTATTTGAAAAAATAAATTTAAAAAAGATTATGAATTAAATTTTTTTAAAAAAATGAAGAAGAAGAAGCGTATGCCTTCTCCCTCAGGCAGCCCTCCACAGAACCAGCTCAGTTGTTTGGGAAAGATTGCTGCAGGGTAGAGATCTGCTGAGGTAGGTTCTTTCTCAGTGTTTTATATTGTACAGACTGTTTCTTTTCAAGGTTTTTGAACCAGCCCTCACTGGCTTACCACGAAATGCCTTTTATACTTGCATTCTCCCCAATTCCAGGTTTGCAGAATGCAGTCAAACATTCGTATAAGTTTTCCCTTTCTCACATGTCACTGTGGGTGCATGGCACATTTTCCTGGGTCTGCTCTTCTACTCACATGGGTGTTTAAAGGAAAATCTTTAACAAATCGGGGCAGAGCTCTATCACCGGTACCTGTGGCCTTAGGAGATGGGAGAGGTCATTACGGCCATACAGTCAGTATGAAACTACAACTGGAAAAGTACATACATTTTATTTGGGGTAAGCTGCAAAGAGATTACTTTGTATTAATGTATTTCTATTTATTCCTACTATTGGTTTATTGTCCCGGCTGCCCTCCCTTGCTGTCACATAAGCTCCATGCAGGCAGGAGCACCTGTCTGCTTGGTGCACTGGTGTACGCCCAGCTCCCAGAACAGTGCGGCGCACGGAAAAATGCTCAGTAAACACCGAGTGAATGAATGCATGTGTCCTGTCGCTGCGCTGGGACCCTGGCAAAAGGGAAGGCTTTCTCTGGGGAGTGCCCCAAAGGTGGTCAAGTTCCTGTGTGAGCTGTGAGGGCCGGCGGCCACAAAAGCCCCAGTGCCGACATCCAGCGAAAGCAATGGAGACTCAGGAGGACTGGGGTGTTTCAGCACCAGCGACAGAGGGGTGTCCCCCTGCAGGGTGCCATTCTGAGAGGAGGGAGTTAGAACTCTAGCATAAATTTAAAAATTCCCAAAATTATCTTTAAGGCCAAAATGGGATAACATGTTTGGAAATGCGGCCACAGCCACATTTTCCTGCATATGCTGTGTGGGGGGCGAAGCACTAAAGCGTTTTACGGTCCTTTTGTCACCAAGGTCTCCAAACCCGCAGGGGGTAAGTAGCATCCCCATTTTACAGACGGGTTGACCGCCACTTTGTGGACGGTTTAATCTGGCGCTGCTGGTGGCTAGTGCGGTCTGAGGGGAAGGCTGCAGCCTTCGCAGTGAAGGAACCAGGGAAGTGTGGGAGCCCAAGGACCCTCCCCAGGGGCCGACAGGGTCACCAGCAATACCGAGCGGGGCCGGCAGAGGGCGCGGCTGGGAGCGACAAACTGAAGTCACCGGCTGTGGGCCCCGCCGCTTGGTCCTTCACACCGCCGCTGTGTTTCAACACGCCACCAATTTGGGGAAATCTTGGGCCATGAGGGTTGGAAAGGCAAGTGCTGCTTTCAGTACCTGTGCCGCGAAAGGAAACGGGCTCCGAGCCGAGCTGAGCACTGGGCAGGGGGACGTGGGTGGGTGAACGGGACCCTGCACAGCCATTGCCTCACTCACAACCCGCCCTGGGCCCCAAATTTCCAATAAACAGAGCAGGGAAAACGGAAGAGGATCAGTGATTGTCAAAAGCCCCTCCGCTAAGTCTAATTTAAAACAAAAAAGTTGTGGGTGGTCATTATGGGAAGGAGACCCTTTCTCTGCAGGGCTGGAGGTGGGGGTGGGCGTCAAGGACACACTTCAAGAGAGAGGATGGGCCGTCTGCCCTCCAAGGAGCGTCCCCTCTCCTCCCCGGGGGGCCAGGAGGGTCTCGCATTTTCCAGTTCTCTCGGTGTTGGACAGGCTGGGCGCGCCATTCTCTTCAGCAGGGCAGGACCCAGAGGAGCCTGGTCAGCACGGGCCTGTGTCCTCCCCGCAACGCTGCAGCCACGCTCTCCTCTTTGTCCCCATGTCCCCATGCCTTGGCAAATTTTGAGTGCTCTGTCAGGATGTCGGCTGGGGGCCATTCTTTGGTCTTTGGCATCTTTCTTGGTCCCCCTCAGTGCTGACTTGAGGGGTCAGCCCCTTCAGGGCCAGCGGTGTCACCCCGTGCTGTCTGGGGACTGGCACCTGCACCGGCTCGGAGAGCAGAGGCCCAGCTTGAGACTGACGCCGGCGGGCCGCGGCTGTGTGCCTCGCCCGCTGGGGGCAAGGTGCGCACTCGCGGGCTAACGCCCTGCGACAGATGGTTCTGGGCGCCGGCCTCACGCTTGGCTGCGCGCTCCCGCGGAGAGGACAGCCAGCGCGGCGCGGGGCCGGGCGGGGGGGGCGGGGCGGCGGTGGCGAGGGGCGGGGTTTGCTCCCAGGGAATTTGTTTCTGTGGGTTTGAAAAGCTGAGGGGTTCTGGGACCTTTGGAAGACGGATGGTTGAGGGAGATCAGCATCCTGTGTGCAGCTTTTAAATTCCCTCCCAGGCAACCTGAAGGTATACTGTGAGAACAGAGGAAATTGGCTCAACTACTCGCTGTGGGAGCGAGAGTCAGAGGAGCCTGGTGGCCTCTGGTGGCCTCTGGTGGCCTGTATCTCCTCTTTTCCATCTTGGGGAGCTGAGCGCTGCCTCTGGAAACACTCTGACCTTTATCAAATATGAAGATTTCTCTCCTCTCAGCTCCCATGCTACCTATTATTTCACTTCCATTCAGCTAACATTTACCAAGTCCCTACCTTG